ACTTAGGCGAGCAAACAAATTTAACTTCCCGACCTTAGTTGCACATCTTACTATCTAAGCAATTTATCTGTCTTGTTCACAGTCGGGCGAGAAGCTTGGCATACTTCTGAGAGAGCACAATGCGCGTGGGCTGGCTAGAATATCAGAGATGAGGGAATCTTTCCAGAACTCGATGTTTAGTTTTGTAGATAAAATAGTTAGCTGCATAGCTGAAAATTGTACGTGTTGCAAGGCCAATGGTCGAAAACAGTGCATTCTGAAGAGCGAGCCCCCGAACAATGGTAACATTAACAATGTGCCAACCAGAGAAGAAGAACTGTTTGTCACGCCAATAGTATCAAGGTTGTCTGGCCCTGTCGATAATGAAGGTGAGCATTCAGTTTCAGGCATCTATATTAGTACTACTATGAATGTATCATCATCAATAGAGTACAACATATCTAGACATAATCCATCAAAATTTACGCATTACAGGTACTTCATCAGCAAATAGCTCAATTGACCGTAAAAGGTCTGTCGCACCCAACTCAATTAATGAGCAAGACTCATCAAAGAAACTATGTGTTCGACAGGACACACCTCTTCAGATGGTTTCTCCCTCCGCCATTGACACTGTCAACATCTCATCTTTGTCAGCCAAGCAAGAAGCTCGCAATGAGGTTGCCAACTTTGTTTACAACTTCTTTGACGATCTCACAGCTGTCATTGTTACATACTATGCCGAGCTCCGCCCAAGGGCTGATTATGTCACATTTGGCACTACAAACGACATGGTCCCAACCAAAATTCGTTTGCCAAAGTGTAATGTAGCACGCGACCCTTGGGCAATTGGATCGGTGCCACTCCCACCATCACCAACAGTTCTCAAAGCTATCAATGATTGGTTATCTGCTGCATCGACCTTACTGCTAGAGAGGTATTGCCAAGATAGGCAATTTTTTCTTCCGAAATGAGACCATAATTGTTTTATAATGTTTATGTTATGCTTCACATGACAACATCTCATTTTATGGACTCTTTACAGGAAATGGATCGTGCACCCACATCCAAGGCTAGTATCAATTGATGGAACAGAAATCAAGCAACAACTAGCAGGAAGCGAACATCTTGGCCATGAGATGGCCTCAATAATTTTCAGACGACTCTAGCAGATGGATTTTTTGTTCACTAAAGATAGCGCAGGGATGATATGGAGGAACTTCATGGAACCTGAGTTTGCTGTAAGTCCAACGTTCACTAACATTTGACCCCTCTGATAACTCCTCTCTTGATTTATTAAAGTTTCCATTACACGCTCCAACACGAAATGTCTTTTTTTTTCTTGCAGACAACTGTGTTGTCGAATGCTGACCCCTTAACAATCCAATCTATCCGCACTAGCTTCACCAGTGCACTTGATAAATGGAACCCTGCCTCAACTAGAGTGGTAAGTATGGAACAAAGCCCTATTTTTTAACCACTGGCATCCGTTTTATACATTCCATGTCACACTTACTAATTTAGTTGTCAATTAACATTTCCCAACAGTGGCACATACCAGATGTCTTGCCCGATGGATGGGCCGTCTACTCATTTGACATGCTGAAAAGGAGGATAGTCGTTCTTGATCCAGCAGTTGGACCATTTGGCTTTAGCAATCGCAGGGTAAACATGCACACATATGTGTCAAACCTTCTGCATTCCTTCCTGTTCAGATGCCTCCAGTGCCTCTATGAGTCATGGCATTGCAGCTATGGAGAATGGACCAGGTCATTCCCAATGCTGATGGTGGAGAAGGTTGTTAAGTAAGTTGAAATATACTTCCAGCTCATCTGTCTCTAATGTTATATTAACATTCAGCTCTTGCCTGCTTACATCTTCGCACGCATGGTCCATCAGGGAAGATAATGGAATATGCGCGACATTTCTTGCTAGGAATTTCAACGGCGATAAACCGCAAATCCCTTTGACCAAGGTAACTGCCTTTTTAAGAATTACATCAATACCAAGAATTACTGTTACTGACCTTTGGGCTAATTCACAAAACTAATTCACAGGCCAACCTGGACATGCACAAGAACCTCATGCTCTATGAGGTCTTGCATCTCCAAGGAAACGAGTCGCTAATCCCACATGATGCCATCGAAGCGATCAAGGGCTCTTTCCTTGTCATCTGAATTATTGCTATGCTATATCTTAGCATTTTCTATGTACGTTTAAACTGAAACAATTTATGATGTATCTCCTGTTCTAAACAGGTCGAATGTAACCGACTGTTTTTCATGGACACAATCCAACACTCTTAACCGTTTCGAACAATAATGCACTGAAACTACGAATTTTGTGACACATACTGGGATAGGATACATTCGGCATGCCCTCGGGGTCACGCTCACACTCACACAACTAATCTTAAGGCACAGGCTGGGATGGATTCTCCATGCACTAAATCTCACACACTCACTCACACCAACACATAGAACATGATTAAGATATTACTTGTTCGTAAACGGAATCATCTAATAAACCCTGAGGAAGATGTAGCAAAACAGAGCTACCAGCAACACATACATAGCGCGGGCCATGTGTTTGAACCTCTGATCCGGCAACACAACTGGCACCACAGCTGCGGGTTGCACATGCAATGTCTCATTAGCTTCACGGAGACGACGAGTCAGCTGCGGGTTGCACATGCAATGGCTCATTAGTATCATGCAGGTTCGAGTTCAAC